TGTCCTTTGCTACATACTTATAAGAAAAATATTAGAAGGATAATATTGTAATAACATTCTTAAAAGCAATCTCAAAATGCCAGGAATTACTGCAACATTTTCAACTTTGGCTTAGTATAACATTATATTACAACAGAAATGTTAATTTTTTACCAATCAGAAGAAAAGAAAACAATTCGTTATTATATTATATATTATTATTATATTTTATTATTACATTAATATTTTCTGATATTTTTTAGACACATAAATAGTTACAATTATTACAATTATTATTACAAGTGTTTATATTTCTTTTCAATATGAAATGTCGGGATATGTGTTTATTTCTCGCCGTGCAGGATTGTTGCAGCATATATGCAGTGGTTGTTGCTGCTTTTGATGCTGTTATTGACTGCCTGTCTGACCAATTATGGTGCAATTATCACACTTGATTGCCCGGAATCTCTGACTCGTTTGCCGTTAACAACTTCACCGGCACTGCAACTGTGCGTGCGTGTGGGCTTTGACTTCTTCTTCGAACAACTCAAAAGGCCGAAGCCTTCAGCCTGCACGGGCCACCTTGGCGTATGCTTGATGTGTCAGATCGGGCAAAGCTTGTTACGGCCAAACTTTTTGGGCTAAAACAACTCGACCGTAAAGTCAATTGCCGTTGGCCAAAGTGTGCGTCCCCAAAATAGCTCAACCATCGTCTTTGTGGATTTTTATGCGAGGTGCCAGCGGCAGCAGGGGGTTAACTCAGTTTACGAGGCACGGCAACTTGAATGCCGGATAAAATTTGGCCCAAATGCAATTGAAATAAATGTAATTTCATAAATGGCCTGCCACCTGGCGAAGGTAGCAATAGAGCGAACAGGTATCATAAAAGACGTTCCTAGAATAAACATTTTATTCCCCAGCCTATTTGCATAGTATTCCAGAAATATATCCAAGAGCAATGACAGTGAGCTAAATAAACACGGTTATTAAAGTGAATGCAGTATATTAATTTAAGGGCACATTCCTAGGTCCTCGATCAATAAGCGGCCACGCTCACGATTGTGTTTGCTGTCACTCGCCGTCTAATTTGATTGAACATCCTGTCCGGCCTATAGCCGACTATCCTTACGCGTCCTGAACCAACAAAGTCTGGCCTTAAATATGAGCCCAACGGCAACAATAACCGACCGAACGCCACAAGTTGTTCGTTTAAATAATTTATCAAAATAAAAATCAGGAAAAGGGGCATAATCCCACACGGCCACCTACTACTCCTAATACAACATTGTGATGGACGAGCTATGCAAAAGGCCAAGGGCACCTTTCATGGTTGTTACTTTAACCACTTCGAGAGTGGAAAGAAAATCTACACCTTTGGCATGAAATTATGGGTATTCAAATAAATTCCATTGAACACCAATCACTAAACATGCAATATAAAATGCAATTGCATTTAAAAATTTAAATATAAATGGAGTTACAAATGTATTTGTGACCTGAGGAACATTGGAAACCTTCAAACTACACGCAAACCGCACGAGATTCGATTTCGGAACCTATTTAAATTTGATTGGTGACATTAAAGAGCTATCGAAATACATCCCCTTTTTGCTACGCCTCTGCGTTAAACCACTCTAGCAATAAAGTGACACTAAACGGCAAAGGCAACCGCAACAGGAAAAGGAAAATGACAATGGGAATGGTAATGGTAATGGGAATGGGAATGAAAAGGAAGTTTGTCGCTAGGACGCTGGCCTTATTATGTTGACATTCTATTCCGTTATCGAGGGAAAAGTAAGGCGGTTCTATAATTGATTAGGTTCGGCTTCAACAAAGCTCACTCGGCTTACACGGCCCTCCCCAGTGGGTCATTCAATCCACAAGAGTGTGTGTCGGATATAAACAATAATTTATGACCTGTATACAAAGACATTAATCTTTATTGGAATTGAAAAGTACATTCATTTTGCACGCATTGAGTTGACAAGTCATTTTCATTTCCCCTGCAGCGTCAAACCTAAATCATAATGGGCAAGTCAACAGCCAGGCGAAAATGAAATTGGCGTTTATATTTGCATATGAATGAAATGAGTTCCCTGAGCACAAAACTCTCGGCAATTACATGATGTTAATTAAGCTTATGAATATCATTGACGGCTTAGTGGACTGAAGTGAATTTTACATCTATCGGCCTAAATGCAGATAAAATATAAACTTTACGAGCATCTTTTATGCTTGCAGAGCAAAAGAAAGTGGACAAAATCGAATTATTTTTAAAATACTTTTTAGAAGTTAAAAATATTTTCCAACAATTTTTAATTTTTTAAGATCTGATTCTAAATTATTTTTGGGAATTTGATAAAAATTATTTCAATAAATTATTATTTCAATAAATATTTCTCCAAAATAGAAATTAGATAAATTGATTTTTCATTTTGAAATAAATCAAAGACATCTTACCGCGTTAAAAGAGTCGTGACGATCGCACCTGCAACTGACTGATATCATATATTGTGACGAAAAATGATTTTACATTCGACTAAAACAAAAAACTTTTCAGAATTTGTTCATTCGGACCGCTTAAGTATAATATTTAAGGAAAGGTATTTGTTTAATCCAATTTATATTTATTTTTGATTTGTAAGCTGAAATTTTTTTCGGTGTCTGCCAACGCTGAAACCTTTGGACATGATGAATTTTTCATAATTTTCATTTATGCAGATTGAAGCAACAATCGGGACTGCGTCTCTAACAACTGGGCCAGAAGGCTGTTTTATATCAGGAGCCAGGGGTCTTCTGCGGATCCGTCGCTGGGTGTGGAATGGAGTGTAGTGTGTGGACCGGCGTTTTCACGAAACATCTAACCGAGATTGCAGGCGAAGCCGGAGCCAGTCAAGTGTTGAGCTTAGACACAATTTATCAGCTGAACGATTTGATTTATATGGTTAGACATGGCATGCGTCACGTCAGGGCTTCTGCGGTAGCAGATTCACTCGAAAAAAAATCAGATAGATAATAGAATTTATACTTACATCGTACCTTTGACATTTAGACTTCTTGGCCTCAACATTTTAGAGCATTTTATTGTTGGCAAAAAATTTAAAATTAAAGGTACTTTTTTTTTAAGTGTAAAGAATTTAGATAGATATAGAATAAATTTTAAATTTATACCATTTTTTTTCTTTATAATAATTTTATATTAAATATTATTCAAAGTTTATATTTTACATTTCAAATTTTTTTTTCCAATTAAACCTATTTATTTAAACACGCATTTTTTTTAAATGTACGGATTTTATCTGCTTATTAATGTCAATTTATATTTTACTAATTCTTTTCGATTCTAAAGTCGACTTTGTTTTGAGTGTGCAGCTCATTGTTTCTGGCTCGGTTTTCATTATTATGTTATGTGTGTTTTATCTGGCTGCCATTTGTGGAGCACTTGCTCATGAAAATGGAAAGTATATGCTTGCGAGAAAGAAAAGAAATTGCGGCCCACTGAGATGTTAATGTTAACATGCATGCCTAAACATAAAAATAATAACCACATACTTGCCAGCCCCTGCTTTTTGATTGGGACTTCGACTTGGACTTGGAGTTGGAGTTGGAGTTGGACTTGTACTTGTACTCTTACTTGTACTCACACTCGTACTCACACTCATAGTCATACTCACACTGGTACTTGTACCTGTTAGGTCTGGTGTGAATAACCTGGATAATGGTTGGTGCGTGCCTCGCCGATCTTCATAACCGTCATTCATCTGCGCTTCTCTCCGATTGTGCGGGTAATTAGTTGCCACGCCAAACAATTTGCGCCGAGGAAAGTAACTCTTGTTGGCTGTCACTTTGTTGCGGCATTATTGAAGGCTTAACCCCATTAGCTTGAATTGGCGCACTTGCCAATCGGCCGCGAAGATCGAAGAAAACCGAAAACAGGTAGAAGACAAGGGCCGGCAGAAGCCCAACTTTCTGCGAAGAACAGCCAGCGAAACTTTTACCCAGCGCCAGAAAACGAAAAAAAAAACAAAAAACAAAAATAAGTAAGCAGACAACATCAAATAACAAAAGAAAACAAAGTCGGACAATGTAAACTCATTCACGAAGCTGGACGGCTGTTTCTCCGGAGAAGAGAGCATCTGCATCTCGGGGGCAGGTCTTGAATTTTTAGTACCGCCTCGGATTTTAGATCCACCAGGAGAATGCAGATAGAGAAAGGGGATCTTTATTGATTATTTTCTTTTCAAGCCCACTAATTATGTGGTATATAAAATCAATCAATCTGTGAACATTCTATGCCTTATCTATAGGTTATAGTTATTGGATGGTTTTCAATTTCAAAGTGAAACGATAAAAATGTAATTATAATTCATTCATAGAATTTTCAGCATGACATTAAAATAGCATTATTTTGCTTTTGAATTTAGAGAATAGAAGTGAAAAAAGTACATTATTAGATTTGATTTTTAATTAAAAATAATATTAATACAATAATTAAGTGTTTTTAAGGGTTCTAAACCCTTATAATTTTCAAAGCAAACGAATTAAAATGTTTTTATAATTCACTCATAGATTTTTCAACTTGATATTAACATAGGTTTATTATGTTTTAAATATTAACAGAAAAGAAAGTTTAAAAAAGACTTTTATATTTGTTTGGACTTGAATAGGCTTTTATTAATTTAATAACAATAATACAAAAATTCAAAAAATTTACATAAACTATGTTTGTTTAACTGTAATTCGGAATAAATGGGTTTTTTTTTGGGTATGCTTGTCTTTATAAAGAAAGTGTAAGTAATTTTCACTGACAAATAACATTGAAACGTTTTCTTATCTAAGAAATTTTATGATTTCCCTCTGAAGGTAACACTTGCCAATCTAGTTACTCCAAAAACCAAGGCTTGATGATCTAGTTTCTTGCTGTGCATCGGGGCAAACCAGTTTCACCTGCAGAGCGGCTCCAGAGAGCTTGGCCCAAAGGCGAAGCCTAGTCAGCTCGGCTTTCGACCAGCTTCAGTTGTGTTGCGGCGCTCAGATGGAGCGGACTTAGCGGAAGTGAAAGAAGTGGGCCCAAACTCAGACCACAATTCCATCCGATCCGATCCGATTCGAACCTTACCGTTCCCAAACGAACCGGCGGTGGAGAACGCGTGGAGACAGTCGAAGGCGAACGCTGCGAAATTGTTACCGCTGCGCATGCGCAGACTGGCCGTACTCGTACTTGTTGTTGCGCTGGCTCGGCTTAATTACTAGCGCCCCCCGCTAAAAAGTTCCCCCCATTTTAGTGGTTTGTCTGCATTTTTCATCGGGCGCCAGTGTGTGTGTTAGTGAGTGTTAGAGGCCATCTCTCTGGGAAAACATTCTTCCCGAGCGGAGCTTTCTTTTTGTGTATAACAAAAGAGAACTAGGCAAAAAAAACAAACAAACGTAAACAAGGCATCGCGAACTTGTGCAATCCATCGACAAAAACAAAAGACCCGCGCGGTGGTTCCCAAGCCACAAAAAAACAACACTGCTGAAGTGCAATTTACAAGCAGCGCCCAAAAAACACACAAAAAGAAAATGTAAGCCAAGAGTATAAATCAAAAATATAATGAAACAGGTTACGAGAAGAGAAAAACCGAGATGTGTGATTAACATATTTCCCATCAAAGCGTTTACACGCAATGCGAAGTGTACCTGTATCTGTATTTGTATCTGTTACCCGTGTATCTTGGCATCGGCATCTGCACCAGTATCTGTATCTGTATCTGTAGCTGTATCCGTATCTGTGAAACAAGAAGTGGATCCGATCCGATCGAGTCTCATCCCCATTCCATATCGAACCCCATCCATGTGGCAATGCAACCTTGAAGCTGTCCACTATATCGAATTGCATGTCGCCCATGCATTTCAATGAGCAAAATAGCGTTTTCGGGGAGATTTTGAAATCCAGAGTCGTTTTATTTTCGTTTTATGGACACTATAAATTTACATACGTTAACTTGCTTGTTTGTCTTGCTGTGGATATCGCCGATCTTTGAGCAAACAGGGGCGAAAAAGACTGGCCAAATACCGTCTATGATTACCCATGGACCGCAGAGTAAATAGCACAAGTAACGCAAAACCAAAAATAATGCAAATAGAAATACGGCCAGACGTAAAAGTATTTTTTTTTTTTGTTGTTGTTGTTTAGTTTTTACTTGTTTTGGTGTCAGTGCGCATTAAAAAGCAAACAGTAACCAATGAACACGGACAACAACAACAGCAACAGCAAAAACAACAACCAACCACCGCCGACCGTACTACCAATAACGGTACAACTAATACTGCGAGAGTGAGAACCAAGAATCCAGGTCCAAAGTGTTAGAGCCACAAAAAGATCATGGCTCAACGAATCGCTCATGCGCTGCCGAAGGGAGTTTATATAATAGTATCACGGTATAACTTCTTTGAATAAAGATATCAGCATGCTAATATGCATTTACTAGTTAACATTTTTTTAGCGATGAATATATGAGCTATTTAACATGCCAACATTAACCATTAATATATGTATTGTAATTCTGCATTTTCAAAGCCAATAACCAAGAAAATAATACAGTCATTACAGTGCTTTTATAGTGATATTCATCAACTAATTCATTTGCAAAAAATTGTTTAGTAACCCGAAAATAAAGCTTTACAAATATTTACCTAATGATAAATGAAATTCTTGGTTGTCAATTTAAGTTGAAAGGGTTTGACTATCTGAAGCTTTACTGTATGATGCAAAAATTAGCGCTTACTTATGAAGCATGAATTGGAATTTTGCTAATTAAAACTACAGCTATAATGGATGCTCATAGATATCTATGTTAAATCTATTATTAAGTATGAATTGTTATTGCTTTATAGATTCAGCATGCAGCTTATAAAAATTCTTGCAAACATTTTAAAGATTTCAATCAAACACAAAGAAATTGTCAGAGCTTAGAGTTTTGAAGACTGCTCGATAAGTCGGCAACAAATGCCTTTAATATGTCAGCATTACCAAAATTACTCATACCACTCGTTGGCAGCCTCACTCTCTGCTCTTTGTTTGCCAGTTCGCTTGATTATAGCCTTCGTTCTTTCGATCGGACCTTGGTGGCTACGATCGACCATTGTTGTTGTTGTTGTTGACCACAAATATGCGGCTTGGACCGAAATAGACGGAGACATCGGTATGCAAATCAAATGTTCTAACGCAAACGCGGCGATAATGGGGGAAATGACCAAATACGATACGGAATACGGAATACGAAATACGGAATACTGAGCGTGGCAGCTGGCCAGCGAAGAGATCTCTTCTCGAAACGAGTTTCACCCGGCCAATGCCAAACAGAACGGGGACTAGAAACCCAATATTAATAGTGTCATTCCTCGATTGCAGCGAAATGGAAGCGTGGAAGCAGCTGCCAAACGAGGGGCGTTTTCTACTGCTTCTCCTGATCTGCATCTCCCACTTGGGCCTGCCAATCTTCGCCTGGCGCCCCTGTCCGGAGCTCAGTCCCGCCCTCCGTCTGCCATGCAGGTGAGTAGTCATTGCCATAGCCATGCATACAAGTGGTGGCCATATAATAGACAAGCGACAGCGAATTTCCGCCGTCGGCCGGGTATTATTTTAATATCACAAAATTACCGACAACTGCAATTTGTGAGCCGATGTCGATTCATTTGGCTTTGTTTCGCTGCAATCAACTGACTGGCGACAATTACAGGTGCAATGTGGTTCCGTTTGCGGCGACTGGTCAACTGGGAGCCGTGGCCATGGACTGCGATCGCGTTGTCTTCCACGGCGACGCACCGCAACTGCCTTATGGAGCGCCCATCGTGGCGTATACGCAACGTCACAGCGGCCAACAGGTGCTGCCCGCCCAGGTGAGTGTCGCAATTTGGCCAGAGATAAGCAGCACAGAAATAATGGGATTTCAACACTTTTACGATGATCTCCCAGGCACAATAATGGTTTCGAAATCGCGTTAATCAGGTCTTATTGGTTATTGACTTGGCGCATGACAAATATATATAATTTATTTTACTCTCGTTATTTTCATTTAGTCTTGAATATATGTATTTAAAAAGTACAAAATTCTTTAATTTGAATGGCTTATAATTTTTGTACAGTTTAATATTATATCATAATATTATTAGTAATTTGAAATTCGAATAGTTTCTTTTCATCGCATTGTTTAAGTGTTTAAATACCTTAAGTTTGCCTGAGAAATTCAACTTTGTCAAAAAACCTTAACCAATGTTTATCAAACTGAATTATTATTGAATTAAATTGTCTCTATCTTTTAAAACCACAGACATTTGGACAATTGAAGCTAACCATTGAGGAGCTGGACCTGTCCTATAATTTAATCCGAAGGATTCCCGAAAAAGCTTTCGATGGTCTGAAGGATTCACTGAACGAGCTGCGATTGGCAAACAATTTGTTAGGCGACAACCTGAATCCCATCTTTTCCACCGCCGAATTGCACGTGCTGAAGAACCTACGCATTCTGGATTTGTCCGGCAACAAGATAAAGCAAATTGAAGAGGGTCTGCTCAAGGGTTGTGTGGATCTGAAGGAGTTCTACATCGATCGCAACAGCTTGACGGCAGTGCCCACCAACTCCCTGAATGGACCAAGTGCCCTGAGACACCTGTCGCTGCGCCAAAACCAGATTGGTAAGACCGATTAGGCTGTACTTAATGTGTATGGTTAAGAGTTGGCTGTGCAATCGAAACCGCAACTGGTATAATTAAAAACGCAAACAGCAATTCTTATTGTAAGCAAAATAATAACTTGCCGCTTTAGCCTTGAGTTAAATAATTAATTTGACTTTAAAGAATGCTAAGATGCATTATCTAGATAATTTCCTCGTAAAGTTTGTAGCTTTAAGCTCTTACATTAAAATCAACTTTTTTAAACTTCTTTCTAAAGTTAATTATAATCTTTATCCGCAGGATCTCTACTTCAAGATTCATTTAATGCGCAGCGTCAGTTGGAGATCATCGATCTCCGACACAATATTATTCGGAGTATCGACAGCCAGGCCTTCAAGGGACTGCAAAAGATCCGGGAAATCAAGCTTTCCGGCAACCGCATCAGTCACCTGAACAGCGATGTTTTTGAGAAACTGCAGTCGCTGCAAAAGCTAGATCTTTCCGAGAACTTCTTCAACCAGTTTCCCACAGTGGCCCTGGCGGCGGTTCCCGGAGTTAAGCACCTGAATCTGTCCTCTAATATGCTACAGGTAAGAGTAAATGATCTAAAGTTTTTGCCTATCATTCATTAACATCTCATATATATGCATTTTCCTTAGCAATTGGACTATACCCACATGCAGGTTGTCAGGACTTTGGAGAGCCTGGACATCAGTCGCAATTCCATAACCAGCATTACACCTGGAACTTTCCGGGAGATGGGTGCTCTTAAGTATCTGGACCTCAGCTTGAACTCTTTGAGAACGGTGAGTGTTTCTAGATGAAACCCCTAAAATCATAACTTAACACCATGGAAATATTACCTTCTTAGATCGAGGACGATGCCTTGGAGGGTTTGGACAGCCTGCAGACTCTCATCATTAAGGACAACAATATCCTCTTGGTGCCGGGAAGCGCTCTTGGTCGCCTGCCTCAGTTGACATCCCTTCAGCTGGATTTTAATCGCGTGGCGGCTCTGTCGGCGGAGATCCTTGGATCCTTGCAGGCTGGCGATATAACCACGCTGTCCCTATCCAGGAATGTCATTAGGGAACTGCCGCCCGGCAGTTTCCAGATGTTTAGCAGCCTGCACACCTTGGATCTTTCCGGAAACTCCTTGGCTGTGATCAATGCGGACACTTTTGCGGGACTGGAGAGCACTTTGATGGCGTTGAAGCTATCGCAAAACAGGCTTACTGGATTGGGAGGAGCCCCATGGGTTTTGCCAGAGCTAAGGAGTCTGGATCTGAGTGGCAACAGCCTTACTGAATTACCCATTAACATATTTGAGGAGCTGGAGAACCTGCAATCCTTAAACCTAAGTGGCAATCATCTGACTCCTCTGACAGGAGCTCTCTTCAAACCCTTGGACCGCCTGCAAGTCATCGATCTAAGTCGCTGCAATATTCGCCAGATAAGTGGTGACCTCCTATCCGGCTTGCAGGACCTCAAGCAGATTTACCTCAACGACAACCAATTGCAAGAGCTGCAGGATGGCAGCTTTGTCAACCTGTGGAACATTAGCTCCATTGATCTGTCCCACAATCACATTGCATCCATTCGCTCCGGGGCCTTTGTGAATGTGATGAAGTTGCAGAAGTTGAATCTCCGCGGGAATCAGTTGTCTGCCTTCAAGGGAGAGTACTTCAACACCGGAACGGGAATAGAGGAATTGGACATTTCGGATAATCAGCTGAGCTACCTGTTTCCCTCCTCCTTCCGCATTCATCCCAGATTGAGGGAGATTCGAGCGGCCAACAATCGGTTTTCCTTCTTCCCGGCGGAGCTGATTTCCTCATTGCAATATTTGGAGCACATAGATCTGTCCCACAATCAACTGAAAACCATCGAGGAGCTGGACTTTGCCCGCCTGCCGCGACTTCGCGTCCTGCTCGTCTCCAGCAACCAACTGGACATGGTCAGCGAGATGGCCTTCCACAATTCCACGCAATTGCAGATTTTGGATCTGGCTCACAACAATCTGGATCGCATTGGAGAGCGGACATTCGAGGGATTGGTGCGATTGGAGCAGCTCAACCTGGAGGGCAACCGGTTATCGGAGCTTTCGGACGGAGTCTTCGAGCGCTCCAAGCTGCAGATGCTGGAGAATGTCAACCTGGCCCACAATCGCTTCGAATATGCTCCGCTGAATGCCCTCCAAAGACAGTTCTTCTTTGTTTCCTCAGTGGATTTGAGCTATAACAAGATCAAGGAATTGCCCGGAGATGATAGCATTATGGTGAACATCAAAAGGATTGATCTGTCCTTCAATCCTTTGAGCACCAAAGCAGTGCACAATGTTTTAAATGAGCCCAAAACAGTGAGGGAACTCAGTTTGGCGGGCACGGGTATTGAGCAGCTGGAACTCCTGGAGACACCCTTCCTCCAGTTCCTGAATCTCTCCCACAACAAGTTGCGCAACGTGAAACCGGAGGTCTTCCAAAGGGTGACCCTACTGGAAACGTTGGACCTTTCGGGCAATATGCTGGAATCCCTAGACGATCTTTCCGGTGCCTGGCCTCAACTGCAGGTGCTCCAATCCCTGGATGTGTCCAATAACAGCTTTGAAATCGTCTCCCAGTCCAACTTTGGCAAGCTTGAGATGCTCCGCTCGTTGCGCTTGAGCCACCTGCCGCAGTGCACCAGGATTGAGAAGAATGCCTTCAAGCAGCTGCCCAATCTGGTCAACCTGGAGGCCTATGATCTTCCCCTGCTTGGCTACCTGGATCTGCAGGGCATCTTGGAACTGCTGCCTGGCCTGGAACTGCTGGACATTGAAGTGAAGGACGCCAGCATCGGCAGCGAACAGATCCAGCCGTTGAAGCATCCGCGTCTGAGGAGCTTGGGAATCAGGGGAGAACGGCTGAAGTCCATTTCCTCGGGTACTTTGGCGGGTCTGAAGAGCAACGACCTGAGTGTGCAGCTGAGGAACACCTCCCTCAGTGCCCTCCCGCCGGCGTTGCTGTTCCCGGTGCCGAGATCCTCCCACCTCAACCTGGATGTGGAGGGATCCAAGATCACAGTGCTGGTGCCGCAGTTCCTGAACGCTTTGGAGGATCGCCGAGCCAGTCTGCAGCTGCGGGGATTGGCCAGCAATCCCGTTGTGTGCGATTGCAATGCTCGGGCTCTGCGCCGTTGGCTGCCCACTTCCGGAATGCCGGATGTGACCTGTGCATCGCCTCCGTACCTGGTCAACCGGAAGCTCATCGAGGTGGGAGATGATGAGCTGACGTGCGACGCCCGACGCATGACCTCCTCCACCTCCAGACCCACTGCCCCAGTGCCGCACCTGCTGAAGACATCCAGCCAGCTGGTGACCAGGAGTAGCTCCACCACCGAGGAGCCCCTGATCATCTGGAGCCTGGAGCCCACACAGCCGCCCAGTTTGAAGAAGATCAAGACCAAGGCGCCACTGATGAAGGCCCAATCGCCGATTATCAGTAACGACGACACGCTCATCATAGGCATCGTGGGTGGAGTGGTGGCCTTCATAGCCATACTCATCATCATTATCTGCATCATCCGGCTGCGCATGAGCAATGTGGAGTACCAGCAGAATGCGGCCATGATAGGCATCCCGGCGGCCATGCAGATGGGTGCCCACAATGCGGCCTACAACTACAAGAATGGAGCGGGAGCAGCGCTATATGCGGTGCCGCCATACCAGGCCAGCTACGCAACTCTGCCGCACAAGACGGCCTCCATACACCAGTCCAGCCAGAATCTCTCCCAGCGCCAGCAGCAGCAGCAGCAGCAGCAACAGCAGCAACAGCAGCAGCAGCAACAAGTTGCTGCGGCGGCAGCGGCCTACTCGACCATGTCCCGCATGTCGTACTTCAGCGGAGCGGGCGGCGGAAACGGCGATGGAGCCGAAAGCCTGACGCACCAGCACCAGCATCCGCACCAGCATCAGCATCAGCCCTATATCATTTACTCGGATGACAAGGCCTACAGATAAGCCCCTTGGATCGAGGGGCCTCTTCATCTTTCCCACTCCTCCACTCTGTCCATTTCAATCTCAGTCAGTCAGTCAGGCGCATCGCCGCTAAACAGGTTCTACATTATATCGCCGCTCTCAGCCAACGTTGTATATAGACTTAAAAAACATTCTAACTGTAACCCTAACTATATCTATGTCTAACCATAATTAAGTGCAAGCAAATCGCTTATGCGGAATAAACAAATCTAGTATAATACACACTTGAAGTCTAATTGCGAGGGCGAAAAACCCTGGGGTTATTTACGCAGCTGTCTATCAGGTATTTATAAAAAACTCCATGAAAAACCCAGCCTTGAAGCCATTGAATTTTTGAATCTGATAAAAATATATACAAGTTACTAGGCTAACTTAAAAGACATAACAAATGTCCAATACTTATGTGGTTGTTGTCTTCCGTGACATTGAACAGTTCTAATAAAAACACCAATTCATTATCTTATCTTGCCTTCAATAAGTTCAATGGGCTACTTTTGGAATTTATCACGTATACGTATGGATACACTGATAAACAACGCCTACTTCCCATAAATAATAGCATAACAAAAGTCTCTTGAAACTGATTTTTCTTATCAGTAACTAAAAAATTGAGGTACCTCTTAACTTGAGTACATTAGCTCATTACCTTCGCCATCGATTTAAACAGTTCATTCCTTAAAAAAAAGACACAGAGGACACTTTGGATTTGAGCATTTTTAATACAATAAATTTTTCATCCAAGATAATTTCATAAAAATGTACATGTATATGTGTATAAATATGTTATGTATGTATATATGTATGCAACTTCAAGATCGCTTTTCACAGTCTTTGTATTCCATATCTTTCACTAAATAACAACAACAACCAGTTATCATTCCATTTAAATGCTAAATAATTTGTGTTTATCAAATGCACAAACTTAAACTACCAAAACTAGTCAAAACAGACAGACTCTGTGTGAAATGCAGGTTTTAACTAAGTAGTAACCACGATTAACAACAACAGTTTGAGAGTGGCAGTTCCACTTAAAAGCAACTTAGGATGAGAAAGAAAATTAATCACTTTGATAATTAGAGAGTTGGCAAGGTCCTAAATTCTGACTCAAGTAATGCCTTCCAGTGAATGGCGAAGGTATTCGACTAGGCCATTTGAGAGTACGAGGTATACAGTTTGTAGTTGCGCCGGCGGTAGTAAATCATGAGGCCATAGCTTGCGAATAGCAGCGCAATAATGATTAATATGAGAATGCCTGATAAAAGAAAGATAATGCTTTAATTCCATTAACACGCCATTATCATTGATTGACAAACCCGTCGCCGCGCCCAAATTGGCCTCCTCATAGGTCATCATCATCGTAGAGCGTGTGCACTCGTGCTCCCAATCCCAGGGAAGGACATCCTGATAAAGTGCTCCAAGTTTTTCCAGCCGGCAGGACACACCACATCCGGGTATATACAGGGGCAGAGGCTCAGCGGTGGTATTCTTGTAGAAAATAGACACCAGTGGCGTATTGCTCTCATCCACACGCAACTCCAGCATAATACACGCCGTGTAGGGAGGACTATGGAGCTGTGGAATCAGGATATATAGCTTGAAATAGTCAGCCAGTCAACGCTGTGTCAATTTCTTACCTCAAACAGTTTCAAAGCGTTCAAAACATTGGCTATGGTGGTATCATGAGCACTATATATCCACATTGAGAGATCTGGTTTCAGACGTCCGGAAAATTTGTCGTCAAACCGTTTGTACATATCCAGCAGAAGTGGCCCCGCCTTTAGCCTGGCTAACTTTCGCGTGTAAGTACTGATGGCAAAAGCGAAATTAGCCACATAAGTGAGTTCCTCGCCGCCGTAAACCTTTCCAGTCCAATTCGGCAGTGTCCTGTTGTACAGATTTTCAATAAACAACGTGTTATTGAGATACTGAGCATCCACGAAACTCTTGACAGACGTTCCGCTTTTCTCGCTCAAGTAGGCAAAGAGATCTCGGTGTTTCTCGGTCATAGCCTTGAATTCTGGCGACGATTCCAGAGCGGCCAGCTCGTGATCGTAGGCGGGACACGGAGCTTTGGCGGCCAGAATGTAATCCTCCTTCTCGGGGATGGTGTGAATGGGTATGGGTTGCCATTTGATGTCGGAATTCCAGATGTCTTCACCTTGTGGCTCGTAGAGACCAGCCAGATTGGATTGGGCACTCATGAGGGTGCGATCCACATCTGTGGACTGCACATAGATGTCCTGGTTGGAATATTTGGAGGGCAGAAGGGCTGAATAACGCTTTCTTAGCCATTTTCCCAGGTCGTAGTGCTCTTGCTTTCCCAACTAGTGGATGGAAATGAAGTTAAGACAGGGTTTTGTCCTTCCAAGGAGCTACTTACATTGGTCAACTGGCCCCAGCCGGTGGGCCAGTAATTGAGATCGCCCCAGGGATCATTGGGATACGGATCTACTGGTGTTCTGTCGCCGTGGCGATATATCTGCAAAAGCATTAGCGATAAAACGGGCGCACACAAACAAACAAGCGAGTCTCTTACCACATGCACAAACTTCAGTTGGCCAGGCAGTGTGGCCAACATATCTGGCTGGTGACCTTCGGCATTTGCATAGCCGTGCAGGGCATTGGCCAACCCGAAAAACAGCACACAGATCACAGAGATCAGTATGAGGCAGCGCTGGCGAAGGTCGTTCCACATTTTGAGAGCCACACTTGTTACAAGTGACCCACAGCGACTGCGGGAAAACATATGTGAGCATGCGGGGATTACAGGTAATGGGCTAGGTGCGTGTCCCTTACCTCAACCGTATAACTGGCGATCTAGTCGTGTGTCGTTTGCATATATACAGCTGGCAACGTCAAGTTTAAGCACTTGTCATATTTTCTTGTTTATACATTTTTTGGTGGGAACAAGTTTTGATAACCAAACCAACACAAAAGAGCTTTGTTTGCCCGATAACGATTGTTGGGACCCCAAGCAACCCTGAACTGTAACAGTAATTCCTTGGCGGGCGATTCGAAATTAAAACTACATTTGGTATTTATGATTGTATTGATTGACTCGTCGTATCTAGTTGCACACAAGTAATATGATTATTTAAGTATTGCATAAATATTGAAACAATCTTAACTACGAATAACAAATATACTGTTTGATGTTGGTCTTAAGACTACACGGCTATAGGACAAATTAAAAAAAAACGTCGTCGGCTTAACTAAAAGATTCTTCGCGCGAAACAATGGAAAACGAAATTCGGCTATTATATTATTAATTGGAGTACACGAGGACTGGCAAACATCATTGTGGCGTTGCACTTGCTTAAAATCTTCTATTACCGCCCATATTTGGTCCGGGTCTAGGTCCGCTGAAGCTGAAAAGGGACAATATTAATACATATTTTAAGAAGATAATAGTTTTACGCACCGGTTTCTTTGGCTTGGCGCTCCGCCACCGCTGCCCAAAGGTGGAAACTCCGAGTGATATGCATTCATTCCATTCTGATTGTGATTTTTACCCCCTGCCCCTCCACGTTTATTTGAACCTCCTCCACCTCCTGGTTGGCTGTTAGATTCGTGGCTGCTGTCACGTCTGGCATTAAAGCCTCCACCTCCATTAAAGAAACCACGTCCCCCTTGTGGATTCCCTCTAATTATAAAAAAAATATGGTTAAAAAGGCGCTTAAACAATTTATCTTTTTACCTACCCATTGGATCCCCGATTGCCCGAATTCATGGGTCCATTCCCAAAGCGTCCAAAGCCCATTTGCTGCTGCTGGTGCTCCACTGGCAGGGCAAAGCCACGTCGATCCTGCCGCACATGGTTGGCAGCTCCAGCTCCAGGTCCTCCTCCTCCGCCCCTCTGATTCATGGATCCTCCTCCTCCGCCGCCTGAGCTGCCACCATGGAAGTCATTATTACTGCTTCCTCCTCCAAAGCCGCTGGTTGGACTGTTCTTAAAGTTCCTCCTCCCAGCCTGTGGTCCATTGTTGTCCCGCTGTTGAAACCGATTGTTGCTAAAGCGTCCTCCGTTGCCCTCGTTTCCGCCGAACTTGCCTGCGGCTGCAAATTTGTTCCTGAATCCCTGACCCTGAGTGGAAGCCTCATTGTTGTGTGGTGGGCCCTTGGAGTAAGGAGCACTGCGCTGTTGTCTGTAGCTGGACTCGTTCCTAACGGGTCCGAATTTGTTGGGGCTGGAATTGGAACCCCGAGGGCCTCCGCCATCGTTGGAATATCTGCCACCGGCTTCTTCGCGGAAGTTGCGCTTGAAGTTGTTACCAGATTCCGGTCTCCTATCAGTGGTGCCACTTTGACCTGCAGGTTATGGTTTATGCGTAAGATTATACATTTCCGGAGAGAGTAATAGCTTACCCTCTGACGCCCTGCGTCCTGGATTGTCACCAGAATTGGGGGCGCCGCGGCTGCCAACACCAGGGCCATATTTTGGCCTGCCCGCCTCCACCACTATGGGCTGGCCCTTGAAGACGGTGCCATTCAAGGCGGCTATGGCCGCATCCGCCATGTCCGTGTTCTCCAGGTGGACGAAGGCGCAGCGGTTCATCACGTCGCATTCCACCACCGATCCGTAATTGGAGAACAGGCGACGCAGTTCGTCCGGCTTGCAGCGCGGCAGGCTCCCGACGAACACCTTGGCGGTCTGCATGGATAAAGCTAGCGGATTACTCTGCACAATCCAGCGGCGGCGGCTACATCTTTAACTCTTACGTACAGTAGACATGTATTTATTTTTCTCTATAAGTTTTCGCTTTTCTTCTTTTATTAATTAGAGATGGGCAACTGGCACCTGACCAGGCAGTGTGACCAGATGTCGTCCTGGCCACGCACATCTCTAACTGCAATTGCTATCGATAGACCCAAGCCTTTGCCTTTGTTTACAATTGAAATATTTAAAAAACTTATATTTAACAACCGCCTGAACTCAAATGTGGCCTCCCGGGAGCGAGGATAGCTACTTTTCGAACATGGACTACAGCAAGAACGTGGTGAGCATCCTGCCCAGCGTGGAGATGCTGGTCAGCTTCAATGGCGACATGACGCGGTCCAATAAGCGGTCATGTTTACTGTACGCGGAGCGGATGGATTTCAAGGAGCTGCTGGTGAGTTTTTGCATGACGATTTGCTCGGATATAGTCTCATAAACACCCTGAACTCAACAGCAACTCCGTTTGGCGGAGAAGTCCGATCAAAGGCGCATGTACATCACCACCGTGGACAGCGCCTCCTTCCAGGATCTCAAACAGGATCAGTCACTGAACGTAACATTTTCGGGGTTCATGGACAATGTGGTGCGCATGCTGAAGGACTGTCAGTCTGGCAAACTGGAGCTGCACCTGACTGGAAGGGACCAGAACCTTTCAGCCGGCAGAGAAACTATCGACTACCACCTGCAGTTCGTGGAAATAAGATCTTTTAAGAACCTGGTCCATCTAAGCCTGCCCTGCCGTTCTGCTCCCTTGAACACCGTGCTCTTCTATATCAACATCATGCTAGATACCTCCCATAAAAAACAATATATGCTGGAGCAGAATATCCAGCAAATTCAAGTGGAAATGAACTCGCAACGTTCGCAGATGGATCGATTGAACACGGAAAACAGTAAACTCAGAGAAGCCTTAGCTGAGAATACGCGTATCCTGGAGGAAAAGCATACCGTAGAGATCCAGCAGTTCCAGGAAAAACTTGCCAAGGTAAACGAGCAGCGCAGCAATGAGCTGGAGAGGAATCGCAGAGCGATCTCTGGCATCCAGGCGCAAATGGAAAAGGCCTGCCTGGAAAAAGCTGACCTAAAATCAGCCCAAGAACAGGCAGAAAAGCGATGTCAAACTCTGGCAGAGGAGTTATCCTGCTGCAAATCACGGGTGTGCACTTTAAAAGAGCAGAACGACAAGCTACACGGTGATTTAGCCAATGCCAGGAAGCAGGAACGCAAGCTGGAATACAAGATTGAGGATCTGAAGCAGCACACAGCCGAGTTGCAGGATCACATTCAGAAGAGTAACAAGGAGATGGTATGTTAGAACCATTATATTATTTTGTGGAATGAGCAAATCCTATTTTCTCTTCTTAGGCCAACATGTCCGCTGAACTGGAGGCTGAAAAGAAGATCCTGCAGACCAAGCGAAAGGCATTGGAAATGGCCTCTGAGGAGATATCCAAGGCCAACCAGATAATCCTCAAGCAAAGCCAAGAGCTGTTAAATCACAAGAAAACCATTGCCTGGCGCACTGAGGTGGCCCTGCAGCAGGAGAAGGCTGTCCAGGCCAAGGAGAGTCTACTAACCCTGCGCGAAGAAGAACTGCGTCAGGCGCGAAACACCATTGAAAAGCTGCGGGAGGAAATCCCCCAGCAACTGCAATCTATGCGCCTCTTTGCCGATGGGCTAGAGCAAAAGTATTCCAAACGTATGTACTAGACTTAACAATTGCTTTTGCTTTTACTCACTGACACTGAACTAATTCCAGAGATCCTCATTCTGAAAGAACGATTATCCATACCCAGTGGCAAGGAAAATCGACGCTAGTTTTTGCTTATTGTTAGTGCATTTCTCGTTTTTGTACAAGTTCAGTAAAGTTAGTTGTATTGTTCGGCTCTAGTCATAATCCTCCTGAACACTTTCACCTGCATGGGCGGTGGCCACATTCACAGCCTGGCTGATGTCCTCAATTTGGTTTAGTTTCAGCCGCTCCCGGATGAGCTCTGCAATGGCCTTTTGGGTGCGTCGTTCCAATCGCTCCAGCTTCGTGCTGGCATCCCGCTTTAGGTCCCAATCTGGTTTGCGAGGTGCCAAATTGGTTATATCAATCTCATCGATCACCATGGGCTGCTGCAGCAGACTCAGTTGGTCCTCCACAGCAGTTTCAATATTTCCCGTGGGCTCTTGGGTCAGAACTTCGCCGGTGGTGTTCTCATTTTGCGGTTTGTAGCTGCGAAATACGGGTCTACAAGAGAGTTAAGGTTAGTTTTGTAATGGTTTTATACAAAAACTCCATATTTTACTGACTTGGGTAACTTTTCACTGCCATCGGCGGTGTCTCCTCCTTTCTTCTGCGCTTGTTCCCGCAATTTTTGCAGCCGCTCCTTGCGTTTCAGAGATTCTTCCGTCAGCTTTCCAACGCCATTGTTTTCCATGATGCCCATTTACAATTTGAATTGAGATAGTAATATATTTTTAGAGATTAATTTGTATCTTTTTAATTTGAGCCAGTGGTTTCCGCGTTTTATTTATTATTGTTTTCATTTGCAAGAGGTGTAACTTCGTAAGTTGTTCAACACTAAACAGCGTTTAAAAGTATCGAAAGTAATCGCTTTCGTTGCTAAAATAATAAGGCATAGTAATAATAACAATTATTATATTAGGCTAGGATTTAAAAGTAGGGAAGCTGGAATATAAATATGTATGATTCTGCATACAATATAATTACATTTTGGTTGTTTTAATAATACAACTTTACAAAACCATATGCGTAGTAACGAATGCTCACTCCGAGTACCCTTCCATGGTGAACGGTCTTTTTAAAACTCTCAAAACTATCGATTAATCGATAGCGCCTAAGATGGATACACAACGTTTGTTTTTACGAGAGGGGAGGAAATCTGCTGTACTTTAGTGCAATTTAAACAAACAAAATAGACATATTGGCTCTATTTCCTGCACTCTACGACCCAGCAGCAACCCTATAGACTCATTCCAGACCGATGCAACTATTCCGGGAAAGCGAATAGGCGCAGCAACATCGACATCGGCAGTGCGCCCCCAGCTGGTGTTTTGGAGTAGCAAAAATAAACCAGAGCACAGCTCCCGCTCCCGAATAAATAGACGATTGCGATTGCGATTCCGATCCCTATTCCGATCCGCCTCGAGGTAACTTCTGTGGGCTATTAATGGCCATCGCTGGCTAACCAGTGCGTTTGTCTCTTTGCCCAATAAAAGGGAGCAGGTCCCATTGTTTTGCCTTGGCAGCAGCTGCAGCAGCAGCAGCACCGATACCGAAACGAAACGACACGAGATTGCCCGGCCGGATCCAAGACGAAAGAGCGATCTAAAAATGGAGTGGACGCGCGAGAAGACGCTGCTGCTGATCAGCCAGTACCGATGCCGTCGCGGGCTGTGGGACATGACGTGCGACGAGTACCGGAAGAAGGACGTCAAGCAGCGGCTCTTGAACGAAGTCAGCCAGGTGCTGGGCGGGAATATTGCGATCAACGAGCTGGAGAAGAAGTTCCACACGCTGCGCACGCAGTACCATCGCGAGATCAGTCGCATGAAACGCAAGGAGCCATACAACTCAAAGTGGTTTGGCTTCAAGAACCTGGAGTTCCTCAGCTCGCCCTACGCCTGCCGCTCCACAAAGGGTCGCCTGAAGACGGATCTCCAAGGCGACGAGAGAAAGTTTGCCCTGGGCGAGGTCACCGCGGACCACAACAGCGATAACAGCACGCCAGCGAACCAAAACAGCAGTAACATGAACGAGGAGTACCTCCGCAAGAGCCATGCCAGCAGCAGGGCCCAGGAGCTGGAGAAACTTATCGAGGAGACAACCAAAGACGTGGACGACATCGACGAGCCGGAACTGGAGGAGGCGGAAGCTAAGCCCAAGCAGGGCAAGGAGCTGAGCGTGCGCTATGTGAGCCTCAACGAGCAGGAGGAGACGGAGACCCTGGAGAATCACCATCAGACGCTGATGGACCTGCATCACCAGGGCAACACCGTAGAGGCCGTCAGTTTCCAGGCCAACGAGAGCGGCGAGCTGCACTACCAGTCCACTCAGTCCGCTCAGAGTACAGGCAACAACGCGCTGCATGTGGTGCCCACGCGGATCATTAAGATTCAGAGACGGGACACGGCTGGCGGGCAGGAGGACAGCTACTTTGAAGAGCACACCCAGCTGCATCCGCCGCAGGCCAAGCGCATGTACTACGAGGCCAGCCCAGCTGCGCACACGCACAACACCACCTCCATTCTGTCCCCTGCACTAGAAACCAATGCCAATGGCACGGCCAGCTCGCCTGGCATCACCATGAGCAACCTGCGCCTGCCCAAGGTCAATACGCCGCCCAAGCCAGCCCAGGTTCAGGTCCAGGCCATCCCCAGTCCGCCCCCGCCCACCATTGTCAGCCTGCCGTCGGCGCGCGATGAGTTCGCCACGTACGGAGAGTACGTGGCCAACGAGATGCGGGCCATCAGCAATCGGGAGGTGCTCGTCGCCCTCAAGCACCGCATTAACACGGCCATCTTCGAGGCCAACATGGCCGAGATCACTCCGAAATAGATTGACAAGCGATCATTTTAGCTAGAGCTATTAACTACAACTTTAGGTTTAAGGCTGAAAATGCATTGTGTCCTCTTGTCTTTGTGCTTTTTATAGGTCCCCCGTCACCTTTTATTCTCATTTGAATTTGTACATTTAACAGATATGTATGTAACGATTTAAATACTTAAGCCAAATATAAAATTTAGTGGAATTACAAAAATAAGTTCATTTGGCAGCAGGCCTGTTTCAATTTGTTTCGAGTTCAGGGCAAATTTATTGGCTTGTTTTTCTAGTTGTTCAAAATGCAGAACACCATTTGCGAACCGTTCACAAGTTGGCCCATGAAATTCGACATCAACCAGCTGGTGAAAGAGTTCCAACCGGAGGAAAAGGGGCGCGAAGTGGATGAAGACAAGTCGCCAAGGGACTTTCTCCACCTTCCCGACAATAATTGGGTGGTCCTGCCCAGTTTCAAGTATCAGTTTGAGCACCTAAATCCGTATCTATCCTGTCGCCAGAGCCAATACATGAGATGCCGCTTCCGAAAGTTTCTGGACAATGTCCCGAGCAGATATGTAACCATTGCTTTGTACGGCTCCAATGTTAGCAAGTAAGTTTTTAGAGGAAATATGTCTTACTATTCAATACAAAAAGTGCTTCAGGGCTAATCTTATTAAGAAGTGGTTTTTGTGGCTCTCCAGAAAGTTATTATTGCCTTTATTTTAGCATGCCCAAACCAAGACGGAAGAGTTTGAATGGTCAGTTCTACGGAGTGGATAACAAGCTGGCTCCTGTTCCAGTTGTTGGAGATCCACGCTCGCCCCCACACCGAAAATAGTTAAGCAATTGGCATTGAAATTCAAAATTTATTTTATTTGGGACCTCTTTTAAAAGATTCTTTACCCGTTAAAATTACATATATTCATATGCTACAATTTAAATATAAATTCTAGTGTTACCACATTGCGCGAAATTATACGTGTTTCACACAAGTTTTCAAGGAAGAAAATTCTGTATAAATAGAATTCTTTAAGTCTTTTCTGACCTAAAATTACAACAATTTTTAGCGGAAATAAAAAAAAAGGCTTTAAAATTTGAAAATCCTATAAGAAATGCTGCCAGACTGTCGGATTTTTACAGGACATTTTTACTTGCGGTAAAATACACTTTTTCCGTTGGTATGTTTGTAACGGTTCAGTGACGGTTACACTGCAAACGGTAAAAATCGATAATGCAGAACTAGCGGGCGAAAAATGTTTACAAAATGCATTAGTTGCTGTGGCCTCGCATTATTATCCGTTTTCTTCGCCTGCCTTTTAGTCGAAAATTGTGGTGAGCACAAGGATACTCCAGAAAAAGTAAAGATTTTGAAGTAGTATACCCTTTTCTTACTTTTAGTGGCCCTGCAAAAGACGCTGCGCCACTATGAGATTTTCCACAAGGACGATGTGGTGCACAGGGTGGTGAAAAGGGGTGCGAAGCACAGCACGAACCCGTTCAACATCATCAAGGAGGTGGAGTTCACCACACTGGGCAAGAACTTCCGGTTGATCCTGCATCCGCATAGGGATGTCCTGCACAGCAAATTTCGGGCCTACGCCGTGGATGCGGATGGCAATGAAACGGTTGTTCACATGGGTAGGCTATAGCTCGCTGGAATCCAAAGCTTTGTTCTGAATATCTTCGCACCTTAGATCACGATAGCTTCTATTCGGGTCGCGTCTTTGGCGAACTGGAGTCCTCGGTGCGGGCTCACATCGAAGATGGCACCATGACCATGTCTATTCACCTGCCGGAGGAAACCTATCACATCGAACCCTCCTGGCGTCACCTGCCAGAGTCCAAAAAGGACACGATGGTGGCGTACAAAGCTTCGGATGTGAAGGTGCTCAAGAATGAGGAGGGTGCCAGTCCCAAAACCTGTGGCTACATCAAGGAGGGTCTCGAACTGGAGGACAAGGAGCACGGCGATGTCCTGGACAATGAACTGCACACCAGGGAGAAGCGCCAGTCGGATCAGTATGAATACACACCCACCAAGACTCGATGTCCCTTGCTCCTGGTGGCAGACTATCGGTTCTTTCAGGAAATGGGTGGCGGCAATACCAAGACCACCATTAACTACTTGGTAAGCCCTTGAGTACTCCATCCCATGATCATTTAATAGCTGGAAATCTTCTTCAGATAAGCCTCATTGATCGGGTGCACAAGATCTACAACGACACCGTTTGGCAGGATCGTTCGGATCAGGAGGGATTCAAGGGCATGGGCTTTGTGATCAAGAAGATCGTGGTCCACTCGGAGCCCACGAGATTGCGTGGAGGCGAGGCCCACTACAACATGATCCGCGAGAAGTGGGATGTGCGTAATCTCCTGGAGGTGAGTCGGTTTTCTCTATACCCCTTCAATTTTCGTGTAGCTGCTCTTCCTCATGGTCATCTAACTCTTGTATCTCTCACTCTGATTCCGACTCCGACTCCTCCTCCGTGGTGGCTAGGTCTTCTCCCGGGAGTACAGCCACAAAGACTTTTGCCTAGCCCATCTCTTTACCGATCTCAAGTTTGAAGGCGGCATTTTGGGTTTGGCTTATGTGGGTTCCCCGCGTCGCAACTCCGTTGGCGGCATTTGCACTCCAGGTTGCTAAAACCCAGTAACTCTCATATTTGTCCTTTTCATTTGGCTTACATACTTGCGTTTCCCTTGGTTTTCCTTGGTTTTTAAGTACAAAGGGGTGGCATATAAATCTGAGGGGTTTAAAAATCACAAAAAGAGGAGTGGTTTTAAGCCCTTCGGCATTTTTGCGACACCCCTAAGTATCCCCATTTTATCCTAACCTATTTTCCACTTATCTCCAAGAATATTTCAAAAATGGATACACTTTGTATTTGAACTCGGGATTGAGTAGTTCTCGCAACCACTATGGCCAGCGTGTCATCACCAGAGAGGCGGATTTGGTCACGGCCCATGAGTTTGGACACAACTGGGGCTCAGAGCACGATCCTGATATTCCGGAGTGCTCACCCAGTGCTTCGCAAGGCGGCAGTTTCCTTATGTACACATACTCCGTCAGTGGTTACGATGTCAACAATAAGGTATGGATTTTAGTTCGGAATATCTTCAATCTTTGATATACCAAATGGATACCTTCCTTTCAAGAAATTCTCCCCCTGTTCTCTGCGGTCCATTCGCAAAGTGCTGCAGGCCAAGTCGGGCAGATGCTTCTCGGAGCCGGAGGAGTCCTTCTGCGGCAATCTGCGGGTCGAGGGAGATGAACAGTGCGACGCCGGACTCCTGGGCACCGAGGACAACGACTCCTGCTGCGACAAGAACTGCAAGCTGCGCCGCAACCAAGGAGCCATGTGCAGCGACAAGAACTCACCGTGCTGCCAGAACTGCCAGTTCATGGCCTCGGGGATGAAGTGCCGGGAGGCGCAGTACGCCACCTGCGAGCAGGAGGCTCGCTGCACCGGCGCCCATGCCGAGTGCCCCAAATCGCCGGCCATGGCGGACGGGACCACCTGCCAGGAGCGCGGCCAGTGCCGGAACGGCAAGTGTGTGCCGTACTGCGAGACGCAGGGTCTGCAGAGCTGCATGTGCGACATCATCGCGGACGCCTGCAAGCGCTGCTGTCGCATGAGCATCAACGAGACATGCTTCCCAGTGGAGCCGCCGGATGTCCTGCCCGACGGCACACCCTGCATCACAGGATTCTGCAATAAGGTTGGCTTGTGGTGCCTTAGGATTGTCTTGACCTAATCCAAAACTCCATTTCCTTCTAGGGCGTCTGCGAGAAGACCATACAGGATGTGGTCGAGCGGTTCTGGGACATCATCGAGGAGATAAACGTGGCCAAAACCCTGCGGTTTCTCAAGGACAACATTGTCAGTAAGTACTGAAAAGCAACTTAAAGATGGAATTAATGTTGCACTCATGTTTTCAATACTTATCGATTGTATTACTTATATTATATTTTATTAATATATCAATACCTATTTTACTGATTTATTTTCAGTGGCTGTTGTCCTCGTCACCGCAGTATTTTGGATACCCATAAGTTGTGTTATTTCCTACTTTGATCGCAAGAAGCTGCGACACGAGATGAAGCTAATCGAATGGAGCCAGAAGTTGGACCTTATACATCCCAGCGATGAGAGGCGTCGAGTGATTCACATACGGTAAGGCACTGAAAACTTATATTTCCATACCTAAATAACGATAGTTAATATACTTTCAGAGTGCCGCGTCAAAAGATTTCGGTGGCGCGAGCCTGTAACTAGCACCCGTTGGGTACCTTTTTCAATCTTCCGTGAGCATTCTTCTCAAAACTGCCACAATTCGTTTGCATTAAGTGACATTTTTGAATGCACACAACACATAAATGAATAAAATTCCATATACTATAGACCAAATACATAAATGTCGTTATAATTGCATTCAGTTTGTAAATAATCTGGCTTACATGTTTATAGTCTTCAAAAATGGGCTCTTTTGTTTGGTTTTTTGTTACCTTAGTGGCTTTTTTATTTTCTCGAATCAATTTGTTAGCTTACTGGAGTGTTATGTATTTCTACTTCTTCTTATTGCTCTTGCCATTCGTCTGTGGGGCTGCATCTTCGTCGAACTCCAGTTCGCTGTCTTCCTCCTCATCCGAATAGTCCTCGTAAATATGACCGTCGTCAAACTCACCAAAGTTCATTTCCGCCTGAAATGATATTTCTTTTAACGTCTGGAAATTTATAGATGGGATGATTCAATTTACCTTGCCACAGACGTAGACGGGTCCAGTGCCCTGCACCAGTTTGAAAGTCACGGATCCGTTGGGGAACTCGACATTTGGTCTTAAGCTACGGGTCTCGCCGACCTTCAGTACGGCGATGGGAATCTTCACCGTCTTCTTCTCGCCATCTTCGTTAATGTTCGTTTCCGCCTGAGAAAGATACGATATGTGAGTCATGAACTTTCTGATTTTGGTTATTTTCAATAAAACCTCTAAATTCTAAAAAGATAATTTAAGAGTTCTGCAATGTTGAGAAGATTCAGGGTACAAAATGATTGCTGGCGAATTTAATTATAATCATAAAGTGGAGACTAGATATTCTCTAAATCGTTTTGAAATGATATAATTATAATAACTATTAATTTTTTGGGATATTTCTTTCAAGATTAGGCAAATGGAAAAAACATTAGGAAAATTTTAATGATGCCGTCGAATTAGCATAAATTGTTTATGAAAATGGAGTCAAAAAAAAATTCGTAAATACTTTAATTATTGTCTGAATAGTTTGCTTCCAGAAGAGACTTGTTAAAAAATATCTTAAAATTTGAATCGAATTGAATTGGTTCCAAAAGATCTTTAAAATAAAGGAATATTTAAAGGCCTTTAATAAGAAAAAAGCTGGAAGGATGATTTTAATTAATATTTTGATGAATAACCGGAGAACTATGTGTCCCTATACTTAAACCTTTATCATCCGAACATGATAACTGAATCGGCCATTATAATTCCAGAAAATGGTGTGCAGATACAGGGAAAACTGAATGCCGTTCTGTGATTTATTATGACTGGGGGCTCCAGATTATTCCCCATAACTGGACTCACCTGTACAACGTTGAACTCGCCGGTCTTGGCATCGGGCCCGAGGGAAATCTGTTTGATGATGAGCTTGTGTGAGTGGACGATATACTCCTCTGGTATATCTGGCACGTCGAACTGTGCGATGGGCTCTTTCTCGCTGAGTGTAACACCTGAAAATGGACGAACGGCGAAGAGGGTTGGATTTGTGACTAGGTTTTTTTTTGCCGGCCGGTGGAGCACCATATAGTACTGCTCTGGCATTGCCTATTTAGCGCTCCTCCAAACCAAGATGGTACTAATGCTCACCATAAAACGACTCGGACTCCATTTGTAGGCCTGGGAACACAGATGTACAGTCAATTAATAATGGAAACTTTTTGTACTCTACACGTGCCCGTAAAACGGCGATGGCTGCAGTTGTATGAAGCGTTGAGCGGTGTTGGAAAACGCACAAAGTCATCCGAAGCGTATTCTTATCGATAGTTTTACCTACACTTTTAAATGCTAGTTGTCAATATTTTGAACCATTAAATAAACTATAAAGCTACATTATTTTTTATTTTCTAATTTCTAATAACTTTAGAATGAATTTCAAGTGTTTATTGCTAATAAAAGTGGCATCTCAGCGATAGTTACAACTATCGATATATTTGCCTTTACCTTGGCCTGGCAACCCTGTTTAATCTACCATTTTGCAAAAGATTTTGCTCAACACGTGTTCGCCGCTGGTTTTGTGTGGAATTAATATTAAATATTACCTACAATGGCTGAGGAATCATTCTACGGTAATTGAAATTTAATATAGCACATAAATATGCATCCAAAAAGTATAAATAGATGCCTGCAGAGCGTGTATTAGCAACCGAAAAAGCGAATCGTCTGCGACGCTTGCCGGTGTTTTTACTCCAAGGTTGCAAATTTGTGTGTCTGGCCCCACACTCCCCAAGTTTCGAATGTGTGAAAAAGATTTATAATTGGGACTATGCCCTTTTCGCAGGAGTCACTTTGACCGCCGAGAGCGACAGCGTCACGTGGGATGTCGACGAGGACTACGCACGCGGCCAGAAGCTGGTCATCAAACAGATCCTTTTGGGCGCCGAGGCCAAGGAGAACGAGTTCAACGTGGTCGAGGTGAGTACTTTGCGGTAATGGTGTGGGGCTGAAGCTGAGGCTTGGGCATTATTGCATGTAATAAATCCCATAAGTTGTGTATGCGCGCGCCGGTGTCTTCAGTTTTTTTTTCTTTTCTTTTCTGTCTATTTTTCCGGCCGGCGGGCAGAGGGACCGGTTTCCATTTTTTCCCAGACCAGAACAACCACAAACTTTTCGCTCGTTTTGGGTTAGGGTAATTTTGTCTGTACATCTGCAGAGTGCAGAGTCACCAGCCCCCGTGCTGCTGTACTTTGGCGATGGGAAATTGGCTAGGTATTTAAACTAGAGTACACATCGTACTAGGTACTTTAAAAATAGTACCTACATTTACTGAACATAAATTAGTCATGCTGATATACTAGACTTTAATGGTTTTTTATGAAAAGTAAATTAAAAAACAATTAAATTCTGCTGTTTCTATAGGCAAAAAGAAAAAAAAAGAATTTTATAATTAAATTATTTTATACATTGTATATCAAAACATTTAATTTATAGGATATTACTGAAAATCTCTGTAGTAGTAAAAAATAGTTCAAAATAGATGCTTTATTTCAAAGACCACCCATATCTTCAGGAGATTGATAATTATATTTTTGGATTTTATACGACACATTTTAGAAGTATTGGTTCCTAAATAAATTTGTAGTATCCACCCATAATATATGTAGTACCCTTCCCATCACTGACGCAACTGTACACAGAAATATATGGCAAGACAAAAGAGAACTCTTTATTGACTCAAGTCCACGGCAATGCACGAATCGGCTGCCGGCTCGCCGTTCGCCATTGTTTGCATTAGGTCGGGAAAGCTTTTCGAGTACTTAAACATACTACGCAGCTTCCTATCCATCCGGCAAACCACTCCCGCCGCCGGGATGCTCCAGTTCCAGCAGATCATGTCGCATTTCAGCAGGGCAAGATCTTCACGCAGAGATTTGAGGTTCTATGCAAGAGAAAGAGGAGTTTCCGGGTTAGGTGTTATAAATCAGATGGGAACAATACTCACCAAAGCCACGGTCGTATCAATTGAGGCGATCTCGTGCCCCTTGATGATCACCAATGTGGTGGCAGTGCCGCCCTGGCTATTTCTATCCGTCACGTGAGACACAATTGACATCTTCAAGTACTCGGCTGCCGCGTAATCGACACTCCCCTTGAGATCGGCCATGGTCACCTCGATGCCATTGAACTAAGGGATTGCACATTCAGATTTAAAAGGTTTTGCGCCACCTTAAAGCTCTCACCTTTTGGGTCTCCAAATGAAACTGCGGCTTCATGCTCTTATAGAGCAAAAAGAGTGCATTGAAGACGATGCCCACCACCATTCCAAATTCCAATGTCCAGAAAACACAGGTCAGCACGGTGACCAAAAAAGGCAGCATATCGCGTTCTGCAAAATAACAAAACTTGTTATATTTACACTTACTGGATCCTAGTTAAGTCTCACTTTTTGCCCGCCAAATCTCGCCAATGGTCTCGTACTCCACCATAAAGAACATGGCTGCTATGATAATAGCTGCCAAGGTCGCCTTGGGAATGTAGGCAAATGTGGAGGTGAGGAAGGCCAGGGTCATTAAAACAAGGGCCCCGGTAAAAGCTCCACCCAGCGGGGTCCTCACTCCACTGGCATTGTTGATAGCTGTCCTGCTAAAGGATCCCGTAATGGGCATGGACGAGAAGAAACTGCTGAGAATGTTGCTGACGCCCAGGGCAATCATCTCCTGCGATGCATCCACTATCTTTCCCTTGGCTAAAAGCAAGGGGAGTAAACATTTGGGGATTCTATATGGAGAATTATGCTCACTTACAGAAAGCTTTGGCCACAGCTATGCTCTCCAGTACAGATAAAAGTGGTATGGACGCCACACCAGATCCAATGTGGGATACCATGTCGCCAAAGTTCAGTATTTCCCCGGTGGTTGTGTCCTCCGTGTGAAAAGGTGGAGGTTTAAATGGCGGTAAACCCGGAGTGATGCTACCGCTGACTAGAAAGGGCAGTTTATCGTCTTTTTTCAAAAGGTAGCACAGCAGGATTCCAATTAACACAGCCACAGCGTTGCGAGCTAGAGAAATATACTTCCACACGCTCTTGATGCCAAAAGGCAAGTCTTTGAGTTGCTAAGTATAATAAAATGTTTTAGAAGTTCTTTAATTAACACCTTATTTATCAAATTTTGCATTTTGTTGGCTTTAAATAAAGACGAGAAGAACAGAAAAAGAAAAGTAAGGAAACAGCTTTACTATTACTCACCCTCATTAGAAGCAAGAGAACTAAAGTGCTGCAGCCCAGGATGGCATCATTTCGACGCACGTGTGTTATGTGGCTAAAGAAGTGTATCCAGCTGCCTAGGAACCCATTGGCACTACCACTAATGCCAAACAAGCTGTTAACCTGCCCGGTGGCAATGGTTAGGGCTGCTGCCAGCGTAAAACCCGTTGTCACTGGCACCGAAATAAACCGCATGAGCACTCCCAGATTGAGCAAACCCATTATGGTGATAATGCAGCCGGACAGGAAGCAGAGGAGCACCGCATACGCTGGATTGCCATCGACATACGGCTGTACCATTAACGACATGATGGCAGTGGGTCCTGTTATGTTAAAAATATATTCCATATTTAGTCATGTGTTCAGCAACTCTTTGGACTCGAAAGCTCACCCACTGTGATGTCTTTGCAGGTTCCCAGCAGTATATACACGAAACCACCCATAAAAGCTGAGTAGAGTCCGTAGGCGGGAGGCAAATTGGCCACAGCCCCGTAGGCTATGGCCTGTGGTACGGCTGTGAGGCCCACCGTCAGACCTGCCACCAGATCCATGGCCAGGAAGTTCCACTGGTACTTGGGCAGCCAATCGGTGACGGGCAAATATCTGTGAACGGACCGCATGCTGCAGCAACTTCGGGCCTTTGAGCCCACTGCTCCGCAGACATTCGGCAGGCGTTCCCGGTAGAGATCATCTGAAAAAGCACACACTTCCTGTATTGAATAGAGGTAACATGTGGGGTCTCCTCAAATCTTGATATCATACTATTAAGTGGGTTACTTGATTGATTGATTCTGTGTTCACATGTTCAATATCTCTGCACCTGATCTCAAGTGCCTTTATGGTTTTCTAAGGTTCGGCGGTCTTGTGACTTCTGGAAAATTACCTAAAGATGTCGAATAACTGATAGACAAGTTCATCCAGAGGAAGCAGGCATTTCAGCGCCAGGAACACCTGATAATTCTTTGATAGAACTTTGGACCGTCTGATTATAGATAATAATATTGAGTTGCTTTTAGTATCTTAAATATCCTTGACTAGTTTTATATCTTCTGCTTAAATACTGTAATCATTGGTTAAAGTTTACTTTTTGATATGGCTGATGGACAAGTTCATCCAGGCGAAACTGACTTGTCATTGATAATTCAGTTTTCGGAACACTTGATAAATCTTTAAAAATAACAATTTAAGCTTTAAGACTTTCGTGTCTAATTACGGACTCACTTCAGAGTATTTGCCATAAATAATGTAGACACAGACACCCTTAGTATCTTGACGATCTTTGTTTAGTTATTATCTCACGAAGTTCACTAAATTTTCACTTATAGTATTCCAAATTGTTTAGATTTAGAATTGTTTAGAATTAGAATCAAGAGAAAATCAATTAAATGCTTTAGAGCCATTCAAGATTAGATTCTATTTTCGTGTTTCTAATATTCACTTTGATGGGTTTCTTTTTAAATTGTGTTGCTTTCACTTATCCTCTTGAGGAAACGCGTTCTCCACCTACCTTCATTATCGCACATGCCGACAAGATCTGAAAAGCACTTTACAGCTGGCTAACACTAGGTGGGAGTTTTGATTTGAACTATACGTTGTTGATGATTAATTAGCGGCCACTTGTTAGATTCGCACTTGCTGGACTGGGACTTAGAAGAGCCTGGCTGCAGTTTGAAAGGGAACGAACCGATCCACTCCAGCGTGGGCAGACGAATGGTCAAGCGGCCGTCAGTCGACGGGGTTATTACTGCAAACCGACTGTGCGAAATATGTGAATGTGTAGGCAGCAGTTATCATTGGACAGTTCAGTTCGGTTCGGTTCAGTTAATTTTGGGTAAGGTGCTCGGCTGACAGAGATTAGAGATACAAGCGAAAACGAAGACTGCAGATAAAGTGGGCCAGTCGTGATGAACTTCGCTTTATCTGTTCGCCCAGATCCGAAATTTGTGTAATTTAAGAACTTAACAACTATCTGTGGCCACTTAAAAAGGCCTCTGGCGGCGGAAAACAATATGGGTCAATCAGTCAGTTGAGCGAATCTTATCTTGGTTGCTTAATGCTGGTAAGGACAGAGAAGGAAGGATACAAAAATTGACGAATCGTATCTTTTCGAGTAATTGAGGCACATGTATGCAGTCTGCGAATTTAGCAATTATCTATAAGCCACTTGAAATGCCTATTACAAGAATCTATTTAAGCAAATCATTCTATTCCCATTCAGGTTAATACACTGAAGGATTCGGTGCAAATTCCGATCGCTGTATTGAAGGCCGGCGAGACGCGCGCCGTCAATCCCGACGTGGAGTTCTACGAGTCCAAGGTGACGTTCAAGCTCATCAAGGGCAGCGGGCCCGTCTACATTCATGGGCACAACATCAAGGACGATGTGGAGGTGGTCGACATGGAGGAGGAGGATGAGGAGGACGATGTGGCCGAGGACGAGGAGGACGAGCACCCAAAGAAGCGCGCCAAGATCGAGAACGCCGCCGATGGTAAAAATGCCAAGAACAACAAGAAGAAGTAAACTAAACAGCTAACCGCCAATCATCCATCGAGGTTTAAGCTATAAAAGTGTAGATTTTAAAGCAAAAACAGTTTTAGGCCCTATATTACAATACGATGCAAACTGAGAATACAATCTAGTAGTTCCTTTTGAACAGCTCCTTTTACATTCAATTCAAAGACAACGTTGTGTGCTCGGGTCGTGTTATCCATCCTAATCGAATGGTCTGTCACTCAGCCAGGAGTTTCGCTCCCCGTTGGGAGAGCAGATCGGACTGTGACTGATCGGACACTAATCGAACACACAGATTTGTATATATATTAACATATAACTAAAGCTAAGCCGGACTTCCTGTACGCGCCTCCTTCATATATGCAGTATGAAAATAAACTGTCGTCGGAATACAAGTTTAAATGCCTTTTATTTAACAAATTCTATCGCGGGTATTATAAAATTTCACTAAGAAATGCCCTTTTTTAATATCTGAACACCAATTGTAAAACGTTATATTCCTTCAACTCCATTATATATATTTTAGTTTTCATAATTTAAACTAAAATTTTGGTAACTATTAAAAGCGGATGTTTAATAATTTTTCAGTTTTTATTTCTCCCATGAATTCGTTACTCATCAATTGAAAATTTCACTTTTGGTAATGCTATAAGGGCTATCATGATTGCAATTCTATGAAGTGGATCAAAGCGATATCGGGAATGCCTTCAAAGATTGCGGTGTGGCTGCTCGGAAATAGTTCGTTCTACGGGTTTCAGTGCTTAGTTCGGTGATGGCATGACCTTGATGCGATCGAAGGCCTGTTTCTCCAGGGTTTCGCGGTGCTTGGGATCGGCAATCTGGATGAGTTCATACATCCTCTGGCGCACATTCTTGCCGAACAGCGAGGCAATTCCGTGCTCCGTGACGACGTAGTGTACGTGGGCACGCGAAGTAACGACGCCAGCGCCTGGAAGGGATTGGGCATTAGCTGTGCCATCCAAAACGAAGCTCTCATCTACACTCACCCTCCTTAAGCGTGGGCGAAATCTTGCTCTCGCCCTTGTTTGTGGTCGATGGCATGGCAATGATGGGCACACCCAGTCCGTCGATGCCCTCGGCAGCGCCGCGAATGAAGTCCACCTGACCGCCGAAGCCGGAGTAGAAACGAGGGCCAATGGAGTCCGAGCAGACCTGTCCAGTCAGATCCACTTCGATGCAGCTGTTGATGGCCGTCATGCGGGGCTGCTGTTTCACAATGCTGGTGTTGTTCACATAGTCGATGGCGTACATCTCTAAAGAGGTGAGTAAATGAGATATAGTATTTGGAGGATGATTTATTTTGGGCATATTCCAGGGCACCTACCGATGAAGGGATTGTTGTCGACGAAATCGTACAGAGCCTTGTCACCGATGAGGAAGGAGCCCACGATCCTGCCCTGGTGCATCTTCTTCTTGCTGTTGGTGACACATCCCTTGCGCACCAGCTCCACCACACCGTTGGCGAACATCTCGGAGTGGATGCCCAGATCCTTGTGGTTGTGCAGAGCGGCGAGCACGGCGTCGGGAATGCTGCCAATGCCCATCTGCAGGGTGGCCCCATCCCGGACCAGGTTCTCGGCAATCAGCTTGCCGATCTTCTTCTCCACGGCAGAGATCTCACCAGTGCCATGCTGCGGCAGATCGTCGTTCACCTCGATGGCGTAGTCAAAGTGGGACTTGTGAATGATGGCATCGCCAAAGGTGCGCGGCATCTTGGGGTTGATTTGAGCTGGAGGAGCAAGACCAATAAGTGTCAGGATAGCAAGGACTCAAGCTGGCCAAACTCACCAACAATCAGCTTCGAGTGCAGCAGAGCAGCGCGCACACAATCGACGCTGGTGCCCAAGGAGCAGTAGCCATGGTTATCCGGTGGCGAGACGTGGATAAGGGACACATCGGGCTTCACTATCTGCTTGTAGAACAGCTGCGGGATCTCGTGCAGGAAGATGGGCACATTATCGCCACGCCCCTCGGCCACCGCCTTGCGCACATTGGCGCCCATGAAGAAGGAGTTCGAGCGGAAGATGTCCTTGTACTCCGGCTTGGCGTACTCCCCAGGACCCTCCGTGTGCATGTGGCACACGGTGACGCACTCTAGCTTGTTGTTCTTTCCGTGCTTGGACATCGCATTCAGCAGAGCCACGGGCGTGGAAGCTGCTCCGCCGGCGAAGACCGTATCACCTGGATTGGAGAGGGCGAAAACCGCAAATTTTATTACCAATAAGTTCAATTTGGCACAAGCTGCTAATCTGTTAATCCGTAGATATTGTACTTTTTATGATACGCTAATCTATCGAGCATGGTCTTATCTATAATAGACATGACATGCAATTGGAGAGCCTACAATTAAAACTTTCCTATTTTGTTTAATTAATAATGCTTTATATGTAATCATATTGAAGTTTCCAATGATTTAGCTAAGCACCTTCTCAAAAAAACTTTTGGGAATTTACCAGTGCTAATCTTAACGTTCAAGAAACTTTTATGATATGTTAATATGACAAATATGGCCTAATCTATACAAAAATTATACAATTTTTTATTTGACATGAATTTATGATTTTTCCTGATCTTGCAATTAATGCTGTCTATAATAAAAATATCATATTAGGTTCTTGCATATATCTAATAAAATGACGCTAACAAGTGAACACGTTTTAAAAATTAGTATACCTTTTTGATAATTGATTCTATCCATGAGATATTTTTATGATAAAAAAAGTAACATTGTTTTTGTGCATAGGCATACATGCTAAAATAATGACAAAGCGTAATTAAGTTTTTCAAGTCCAAATAATTTATGTTGCGCTGGTCATGCCTCTAAAAAGTGAAAAAGTACACACCTACGCATCTATTTTTTCCCCGACGAATTGTGCCAATATTTCGGCTATATTTTCTTCGATCATTCACTCTTTGGATGTCTAAAGCGTTTATATTTCGATTCTCTCAGAAGCTTTAAAGCTATAGCTAATATATATACCTTGTGTACATATATATCAGCAAATATTCAGAACGGCTGCGATAATGAGAATGCCGAGAGTGGGAGAGCTTATTACCTAGAAACTCGTGATAATGAATGTTTGTAAATAAATAACACCGGTTTCAATGATGGCATTACATTGTAAACATTTTTGACACAAAGAGATTAAATGAAATCAGAAAGTTTATATACTTTGCATAAAGATAGCCTAGACAATAACTCTACTTTGTTATAAAAAGGGACTTACTTAGATGCTTTAAAGAAATATGAATTTCTTCAATTTAAAATTGAAACATATCTAGGCACTCCAAAGTTCACTTCCATGTTGTATCTTACATATATTCTAATGCATTTATAAGCACATGCATAATGCTTTGGCAATCTATTTTGGTTACACACTCAAGTGGCCGGTGTGCCAATGTATTTTTGGTATGAGAAACTGGCAAGACCAACAATGCTGTGCAAATGAAGTCGATCGAGCCTCTTGAACGAAGGAACCATACGATAAGTGTGATTCTTATCAGCAGACGTCTGAGCCACGTCAACAATATCAAGTTTTCCGCGAACTTTTTACTTATATTTTTACCTATTTATGTATATTTACTTTATTGCAAAACCTCAATCTATGTCTTACACTTAACTTTAGCTAGTCAGGCCCTACTGTACCATTTATTATTTATTTTTTTATCTGCCAATAACGTGCCAAACGAAAAAGTTTTCCAAATCAAATTACGTCGCAGATTTGGCATGGCTTGTGTTGGCGATTTTGGCTAAAATTAGAGATACCAATTTTTGGTGACGTTTGTGGGTCGCTGCGATATGCCACGCCCCCTCCTAAGACCCGCCCCCTCCCCATTATATTATCAATTGGCATAGACCTGTTGATGAGAGGCCTTAGAAGTGCTAAGAAATTAAGATATTTCGTGCCTTGTGGGCGTGCCCCAATATTTGTTTGTATCACAGTATCACAGGAGATTGCCAAATTGTGCCCAATTGAATTTAATCAAAGCAGGGGGCCCCAAAAATTAATGTGTGACAGAAAAATATCTGTTCATTTCCTATCTTTGTATTCTAACATAAAAATTATCTAACCGTGTTCGTATTATTGTGATAAGAAAATATATGAAATGTTTTGATTTTGTATTAAAAAAT